GGAGCGCTACTTTCGATATCCCACGTAATCGTCACCTCGCTATAACCCAGGAGCTCATTAGTGCGCTTCCAGTTGTACTTTGTCGAAGGATGGGAGTCGGTCCTGTAAACCACCCAATTGTTTCCATCCTTGCGTTCGACAGTGAGGAACGTTTGTTCTAATCTCAGGTTGTTCTGATATGCTCATATTAGTTCTCGTGAAATCATGCAATTCGATGTCTACTTACGCGTGGGGTAGCTCCTTGGAATCGGACTGAAGCCTGTGAGCCTTTGGTGTATGAGCCAGATGGCTGGGCCAGAACTTTTCCGAATTTCGAGCCAATAGGGGCATTATCCATGACCACACCGGTCTGAGATATTAAATCAGCGTTATCGCTAAAAGAGGGCATAGCAACTCACCCTGAGGGAAAGAGGGTTGCCGGTGAGATCAGGAGGTGGTGTTCCAGGGGATGGAGTTGTGGTGGAAGAGTCCGAGAGGTATGTGACCAGGTTGGAGTAAATGTCGATATATGCGTCAAGCGTGTTTGGTCCATAAATCGTGGATCCACCCTCGTATCTCTGAACTCTGTGAGATATATCAGTATCAAGCCCTGTTCTCTCTGTAGATAGCTAGTGACGTACCCATATTCTTCGCGAGTTGTGATATAGTGTCCATACGTATTGGCCGGGCCAGCAATCACGACTGTAGCATCGTTGCCAATGATATTTTGCGCAACGAGCTTGGCTTTGATTGCCTCTCGGATTCTGCGTCCAGCCATAGTGGTGAATTCTCCAGGTACCAAAAGCATGACAAGCTGCCCAACTCGGAACATTTGGACGTTGACAATCTTGGGTTGCCAGTCATAAGGGAACGTAGCCTCTCCCTGTAAATGGGCGGTTGAGATTAATAAGCTTAGGAGGCGTAAAGTATACTAACAGTATTCAACAAGATTGGCTTGGGTGCGTGGCATGCAGCTTGTTCAGCACTGGGCTGTGGTGTGACAGCGCCCTTGACAACATCCCAGAATGGATTCCCGCTGGTAGTACCTTGCTTGAAATCAAAGGCACCAGGGCCATCGGTAGTTCCACCCGCAAAGGCGTACCCCATGGCAGGTTTGCACGTCTTGGCTTGTGTGCCGTTGGACAAGGTGAAGGTGTAGTTGGACATGTTGATGTAGACATGCACAGAGCGGACCGCGCCGGAAACCGAACCGAGGTTAGAGGAGGACATGATCGACTTGGCACCTTCGAACTGATACGATCCAATGAGATAATTGGATTGGAAGTCAGAAACTTGGAAGCCTGGTCCACGTCCATGGCATTGCTAGGATAGGAAGGTTAGAGATATCCTTATATCATGCTTTTGCGAGGTGACTACGAACTTGTGTATTGTTGCCACAGGTAGAGTGGTAGAATTCACATTGTTGCCCATCCCAAGGTTGTCCAGGACTCTGGCAGTAGGCTCCTAGACTAATAAGGGGGTATGATTAGTAAGTTATCAGCAAACGAGTAGATACTGAAACTCACGTGTTGGGACTGGTATCTCCAACATTGGCTATATACCACTATTGTTAGTGACAAGGAAGCTGATAGAAAGGGATAGCCCTACCCTGCACGAAACCAGCAACGAACGAGGTATTGCCCGGAGCAGCATTGGGCTCGACAAAGTCTATTTCAACGCCGTTAACAGTAAATTCAGAGTAGGCTGGTCAGTATTACATACTCTCGTAGAGGTAGGCAGCCATTCCCTTGTTATCCGTACTGACAAGCGTATTGTTCTGGTACAAGGAAGTTCCATGGACCTATAAAGAATGCATCCGTTAGTCGACCTGCTGCTGAACGCTACCCGTTAATCCGACTTACGGGGAAGAAGCTCAAAAAGCCCTTGTCGCCACTGTCACCCTTGAACTTGACGAGTGTCATGGTCTTGTCTTGGTCATAAGCATATTTGGCGCGTTCCTCTGCTGGGTTGGCAAGATATGCTGAAGGCGAACGATTGATATTGCCTTGGAGGATCTACAAACAAGGTCGTTAGTATCCTTGTACGATTGGAATCTAAGAAACCGCAAGCCCAGAAAGCGCGAGGATAGTAGATCGGCAGGACGGGTCAAGAAGAGACCGAACCCGGACGACTTATCGGGAATACGATGTCTTGTGACCAGTCAAGTGGCTAAGAAGGGATCGCCAAATGATCACACGGCCCTGGCTCGCGAACCCTCTTCTCCCCAATCAATCAAACCACGGCCGCCCGATTGGATAGTTGGGTTGCAGGAGATAATGTGCTCCAGTAGTGTAAGAGATACTTACATCAGTGGTACCATATGACAATGACCCTGGTCCCAAGTTGTTGTGTGCCTGGACTGCGGCCTTGACGGTACCCGCGACGATTGCATCAAACGTCTCGCGAACGAAACCCAAGGATGTGAGTTGTGGCAGGAGATTCTAAGGTCACGAGCGTCAGTATAATCAGAAACATGTGGAAAGAGAGATGCGCGACAAGCTTTGGGATATGGGTCAATGAGAATCGGAGCTGTTTCTTACCTCGAGGAAACCACCGACACCGGCATGTTGATGAGTGCCCACGAGACCAATATTGTCTTCATTGTAAACACCGGGATAGAGGCTCTTGAGTTTCTCGACGATGGCCCTCCTGATGCCAGAATCGCCCATCGCAATGTCTACATATTTCCCCGGAGGAACGCGTCATTAGCATGCCTGAAGACGGAAGAAGCGAAGCAGGGACGCCCCCACGAGCACCCCAGTTCCTTGAAGCGAGTGTACGTACCGGAATTGATAAACAGGATCCTGTTCGCCGGGTTGGCGGATTCTGCTACAATGTACGCACGGCTTCGTTGTCTGTGCACATATTACCAAGCAAAAAAAATAAATATTTTTGAGCCCAAAGCCGAGGGGATTGTTAGCCTTGGCGACGAAACGGCATGATCGAGTGGCCGGACGGCCCCACAGTGAAGAAGTGTTACTGACCGCATGTGAAGCCCAGTGTCCGTTTGGCTAAGGTCAGCATATCCCATCATATTTGTCTATAATATTCGTAGAAAAGTTGAGCAAAAGCGTCGAGGAATCGTCTCAAGAGAGCCATGGCTCACTTCAGTTACGGGACCGGTAATGTCGCCGATACCTATGCACGAGAATGGCCGCGACGAAAACAATCTTTAGCAAAACCAGGCATTATTTAGAGATAATCGACACGTAC